TTAGTCCGATTTCAATAATTTTCAACGTTTTGCTTACACGTGGCAAGTACAATAACCATACCGAGTTTGGTACAAATTGGTAGAACGGTTACCGGTATACTTATATGTGATCATAAGTGGGCGGTGCCACTCCCATTTTCCAAAATTTTACCATAAACGCATTTCTTGGTAAAGAATTGTTGCAACCATCAATTTTGAAAAAATGAGCTTCAATATTTAATGATTTATCGAAGATTTTGTATTTCTCTAAATTACCGTTATATGGGATGTGGGCGTGGTTATTGTCCGATTTTAAAAAGTTTCGGCGGTTTTTTATGCTGTACCAAGGCCAACAACTGTGCCAAGTTTGGAAGAAATTGGTGTAGCGGTTACCAAGATATACACATGTAACCATAAGTGGGCGTGGCTACGCCCATTTTCCAAGAATTTATAATATTCTTATTTTTCGTCTAAAACTTATTATAAATATCAATTTTGAGTGAATAATCTCCAGTAGTTACTAAAATATTGCAGTTTTCATATTTCTGAAAATTACCGTTATATGGGAAATAGGCGTGGTTATTGAGCGATTTTAAAAATTTTCGGCCATTTGGTATGTTATGCGAAGGCCAACAACTGTGCCAAGTTTGGAAGAAATTGGGGCAGCGGTTACCAAGATATACACATGTAACCATAAGTGGGCGTGGCTACGCCCATTTTCCAAAAATTTATAATATTCTTATTTTTCGTCTAAAAATTATTGTAAATATCAATTTTGAGTGAATTATCTTCAGTAGTTACTAAAATATCGCAGTTTTCGTATTTCTGGTAATTACCGTTATATGGGAAGTGGGCGTGGTTAAAGTCCGATTTCGCCCATTTTCAATACCAACCTACCTTGGATTAAGGGAAACCTACATACCAAATTTCGTTGAGATATCTCAATTTTTGCTCGAGTTATCGTGTACACGGACAGACGGACAGACGGACAGACGGACGGACAGACAGACATGGCTTAATCGATTTCTTTTTTCATCCTGATCATTTATGTATACATTTGTCTATATCTATCTCGATTCGTTTTGGCTGTTACAAACAACCGTTATGTGAACAAAATTAATATACCCTTGTGCACAAGTGCGCTCGGGTATAAAAATCGAGTTAGGTTTGTCAGGGGCTACTGATTGTGGGTGAAGGCCACTCCCGTTTGGTTCTTAAAACCTTATAGCCGTATTCATAAAAAAATTAAGTAGCTTTACAAAAGGTTTATGGGTGCTCCCACTGCGATGTAAAGACCAGGTGGAGGAGGACTTGGCTTCAGTTGCCACAGAAGAGAAACGACTAGCGTGCTTTGTTCCACTCGGCTAAAATCGCTTAGGCGGTCACAGTGCTTTTGGTAGAAATGAGCAATAAATCTCTAGAATTCTTCGCGCCCTGAATTATCTTTTGTGCTTGGGCGCGCCTTTTCTTTGCCGTCGAATGGTTCCGACCCGATGAAAGTAGTTGTTGTGGCCATCTTTTGTGAGTTTATTGGGAATTTTATTTCATTTAATTTTTTATTAGCTTGCCAAGGCACTCCATCTTCAGTTTTGATGATTCTTGTTGGAATCTCTGGGTAAGGCTGACCCAGCTATCCGCAGGATAGCAATATTCTAGCTCCGGTAGTTGCGCTTGATAGTGAAGTCTGCAAAATGGACTATATATGTATGTATATTTTGCCTATCTAGACAATTTCTTCACTCAATGTACCAACTTATTGTAGTATATTGATTTATCTAATTGATTGATTGATTTACTAAGTTGAGTTTGAGACCCTTTTGTATAAAATTTTGAATGCATGATTTCCTTCAGTCTAGCAAATTGTACCCTGCTTCGGTAGAATATATATCTACTTAGAAATTAGAATACTCTTCTGCACTGATGTTGGTTCCGAACCTCCTTATGATAGTCCTCTTCGCCCTTTTCTGAGAACAAAGAAAACGAGCTAGTATGAACACAGAGTTCAGATTATTGTGAAGATCGTGCCAACTAGATTTCGGAAACTTCGATCTGACCACCATAAGAGCAAGGTATTTGCCCACAGTGAAGATTGGACTGCCTAGGTTGTGGAAATATTGTCGGCTTAATATCTATTTATAACAACCCTTAACTCGTCTTGTTTCTTCCCATCGTGATAAACCACTACGTTCTTGAATTTTTATGCGTTCTTTAAAAAAAATCTACGCTTCGTTGATATCCTCGAAATTACTATCGACGGTATCTTCATCATTTTGGAGTAGCGCATTGTAGAATAAGACCACGCACGAGTCTTGAGGCATGAAAAATATTTTACATGTCGCTGACAACCTAATTGAATTCTTCTTCCGAAAAATTGTACCTTCTCTTTGCCTTCTTCTCATAAATACTAAGATTAGGGCAACGAAAAGGCAACACTTTTTGTATAATTGAAAACGCCATTGCCTTTTGCTACTACTGCCCACACCCATAGATTCCTATTCGCCCATATTACAAAATGCAAATTTCTCTCACTCACCGTTCCCGCTTGCCGCGCAACACGATCCAAGTCCGATTTATCGGAAGTTAGATGATAATCATAGCCCCATGGGTACAGAATATACTGACCATAGCTGTGGAAGGAGAGGTATGCTTGGAAGGTGTCACGGGGGTAATTGCTAATAAACTTCGATATGTAGAATGTCTCTGGTTCGGAGAAGGCCTTGCTACCGCGGTAAGTTTGCGAGCAAGGATTCGCTGATGTACCCTTGCCTCCCCATTTGTAACCGAAATTACGATTCAAGTCGACTCCCGGGCATTGGCGTCCATGAGAGCGCATATTCTTACGCCACAAACGATCAGTGGTGTGTGTGTACTCATAGCCATCGGGATTTGCCACAGCGTGTATGTACCTGCGAAAAGTGAAGCGTGAAAGTGGTTAAAATATGTTATGTATATTTATTGAAAGATTGCAATATGTACGGATTTTCGTTGCTTACCAGTTAACATTGCGCATATATTCAGGCATATCGTCCCAACC